TAATTATTTTCCGAAGGTTTGTTTTGGACAATACTCCAGAACCTCCCCTATTTATTAGTTAACAGTCAACGGATCTGCATCTCAACGGGAAAAGGGATCTAAACCCACGTCTTCGCTTGGCGGGGCTATGATAAAAAACCTTTTCTCTTTCTCTAGGGAGTTCCAACAGAATAACAGTCTCATCTAGTGTGAGGAGAGAAACACACACACACACACGTACGTGTCAGATACACACTCACACACACACGTACATGTCAGTATACACACACACACGCACACGTACACGTGAGGGTACACACACACACACACACGTACGCGTCAGCATACACACACACACGCACACGTACGCGTCAGCATACACACACACACATACACGTACGGGTCAGGGTACACACACACACCTACACGTCAGGGTACACAAACAAACACACACCTACACGTCAGGGTACACAAACAAACACACACCTACACGTCAGGGTACACACACAAACACACACCTACACGTCAGGGTACACAAACAAACGCACACCTACACGTCAGGGTACACACACAAACACACACCTACACGTCAGGGTACACACACAAACACACACCTACACGTCAGGGTACACACACAAACACACACCTACACGTCAGGGTACACACACACACACACACACACAAATATGTGTTCATGAGTCAGTTGTCGTCTTGTCTTTTGTCTTTTTATCAATAAAGATTTTTAAGTAGTTTAATCTTAAAGCTTCATACAGAACTATGACACATTTTAGATTCTATACTTCATGTTTTTAATCTGTAATATTAAAAGAAGGGAGTATTTGCAGCGTATTAGTGGTATCTGTACATATATACAGATTTATTTTGATTCCATTTGATGTATAAATGTTTGTTCTCTCTCCCTCTCAGCCTTCTTTTGAGCGACTGGTGAAGAGAAAGTGGTTGACTAACACAGAGCCGTACGATCAGATTGAATTTCTTATCAAAGAATATTTCAAGAAGTATCACAGGATGGACAGTCCTCCGTACCAGGTACTAGTACTGTGCACTTGTATGCTGTATTCGTACGTACAGTTTATTTGAATACTGTCACAGGTTTTGAAGAATACAATTTGATAAAGATTTATAATGAAAATTCAGCAGCTTCATAATTAATTGTTGAAATAACAATTATGTTAATAATAATAATTAAATATATATATAAAATATATATATATATAATACTAGTATTAATAGTAACATATTCAAGTAATAATAATAATGATAGTAATGATTATGAGTCCCCACTAAATTAGGAGAAATTGGATATCTTTGTTATTACAGACTAATAAAACATCGTCTCACGTCTGTCTCTTAGCTGCTGGTGGCAGAGGTGCACCACCGTGTGGTGATGGAGTACCTCCGCTCCGTCATGAGGGGAAGAATCATCTGCACCTCCTTGAAGATGAGGAAGAGGATGGCCGGGCGGCTAAGAGACGAAGGCAGACGGATTAAAGTCCTCTTCAAAGACCTGGTGAGCGTTTGAGGTTGAAGGTCAACGGCTGCAGTCACGTTCTGACATACATCAGGGTCCGTTTCAAGAGGCGGGTTTAGTGGAAAGAGTTTGTTCACCCTGAGACGAGGGAAACTCTGGCTTGTTTCACAAAGGGAGGTAACTGAAGCTCAGGCTCAGTCACCATGGTAACTAAAGCTCAGGCTCAGTCACCATGGTAACTAAAGCTCAGGCTCAGTCACCATGGTAACTGAAGCTCAGGATCCGTCACCATGGTAACTAAAGCTCAGGGTCCGTCACCATGGTAACTAAAGCTCAGGGTCCGTCACCATGGTAACTAAAGCTCAGGGTCCGTCACCATGGTAACTAAAGCTCAGGCTCAGTCACCATGGTAACTGAAGCTCAGGGTCCGTCACCATGGTAACTAAAGCTCAGGGTCCGTCACCATGGTAAGTAAAGCTCAGGGTCCGTCACCATGGTAACTAAAGCTCAGGCTCAGTCACCATGGTAACTGAAGCTCAGGGTCCGTCACCATGGTAACTAAAGCTCAGGGTCCGTCACCATGGTAACTAAAGCTCAGGGTCCGTCACCATGGTAACTAAAGCTCAGGCTCAGTCACCATGGTAGAGTTTCCCTCGTCTCTGGGTGAACTAACTGAGTTTCCACTGAACCCGCTTCTTGAAACGGACCCCAGGTGGCAGAGACTCTGACTCATTCACACGTTTTAAATACTTGTGTCCGTCTCTCAGGAGTCTCCCTCCAGCTGGTTGGACAGCGCTCTGTCTCACATCTCAGAGATCATCCAGCTGGAGGACGTCCCCTCAATCCAGATGGAGGTTGGAGTTCTGGTCCGAGAGTTTCCTGACATCAGGTACAAGCTTCTTCTTCTTCTACCCATAATTCCTTGCTTCTTCATGTGTGTTGGAAACTAAAAACTAATCATACAGATATAAATACTTTCCTTCCTCCTTGTCATTTAAGGGTTTGGGTTACTGAGATCTCACCTTTGACCCTTTGAGCCTCTTTGTGTGCGCGTCCCCTTGTTATTGATCAATACTGACATGTAAACGTCCCTCCTCTTAGGAAGAAGCACGTGTCGGCCATTTTGAATATCCGTGGGACCACCCGGCAGTCAGAGCGCCAGGAGATCCTCAATGTGGTCAAAGACATCGAGAGCATCGACGGTCCCGGCTCCGGTTCCGGTCCCGGTTCTGGCGCCCTCTCCCGGCTGACCCGGGACCGCGCCCTCTTCTCAGAGGTGCCGGTCACCTCCGAGGTCCACTGCCTGAACCTGGGCCTGAGCCGCGTCGCCCTCACCGCCTCCTCCTGCTTCTCCACCTTCAGGCCGAGGCCGAGGAAAACCAGGGCGCCCGTACAGGGGGACGCCGACGACGTCCTCTGAGCAGCTGTCGGCTCATTGATCGGCATTATCGAACCATGAGGTTCTTCTATCTCACTGTCGCTTCTGGGCTTCCATACTTATTATTTTTGTGTGTTCAGATGAAAATTCATTTATGCAGATTCAAACATCTCATGTGATTTGAGGCAATGAGTCCTGAAGGACTCTGCAGGCTTAGAAAGACCAAAACAGGCGTCGACTCATGTGAACCAGCCGCTGTGGATGAGGAGACTCTGGAAAAGAGGGTTTTAAAGCTTTCTTTGTTGCACATAATGAAAACGTATTAATCAAAGGTACTATGGTGATCTGAGAGAGAGTATTTAAGGCTGTGATTATACTTCAGGCTCTGTGGTTTGATGAGGTTTAATATATATGTGGGATAAATATGACTTCTGCTTGGTGGTAAACTAATTAGACTTTTACTTCTTGATGTTCACATCAATGTGGCCTTCAGGGACGCTCCGACGTTTGAGACCTCACTCGCAAAGAACAACAGTCAAAAGGTTTATGGGAAAATTTAACTTTTTTATTTTCTATTACAAAACTTCTGAAGACGAAAAACACTTCCTGCCAACACTTTCAAAATAAGAGGCTATAGGTACATGTGGCCACTGGAAGACAACATTCACACTCTTAAGATGTAAGATGTTAAGATGATAAACTCTTTTATTCGCTCTCTAATTAATGTGGATGTTTGAATTTAATCTTTCTGTATTGAACTTTATTGACTTTAATAAAACCAATCAGATCACCGACTGATCAGCTTTGAGATGTGCTATTATAGTTTATTTTCTAAAAGTCAGACAACAATGCCTTAATTTATTTAAGAGAATCATAATCATTATATTTATTTTAGTTTTATTTCTGAAAAATGAATTTCTTCTTTCTTAACCTTTATTTTTTATATTAACTACTTTATATTATTGAAATTCCACTTTAAAGGTCTTCATATATATATATATATATGATATATGTATATTATATATATATCATATATATATATCATATATATATATATATATATATATTATATATATACACACACACACAGTATATATATTTATATACTTGATATAAATATAAATTTATATATATTATACACTGCTCAACGTAAAACTATATCTACGTATATTTATATTTTAGATGATTGGATGGTCGGGGTTCAGCAGGGTGACAGCGGCAGGGAAGAAGCTGTTCCTCAACCTGCTGGTCCGGGCTGGAGGGCCCTGTAGCGCCTCACAGAGGGGAGGAGGGCAAACAGTCTATGGCTGGGGTGAGAGTTGTCCTTCACGATGCTGCAGCCTGCCCTTGTCCTTGGCTGTGGCTGCAGCGTACCAGACGGTGATGGAGGAGCAGAGGATGGACTCCATGATGGCCGTGTAGAAGTGGACCATCATCGTCTTTGGCAGGTTGAATGTCTTCAGCTGCCTCAGGAAGAACAACCTCTGCTGAGCCTTCTTGGTGATGGAGCTGATGTTCAGCTCCCACTTGAGGTCCTGGGTGATGATGGAGCCCAGGAAACGGATAAATATATATAATTGTATACAGGAACACTATTTATACCAGGGGTCTCAAACTCGCCCTCGGGAGGATATTTTGTGGCCCCCGGCTTAATATGAAAGTTTAATGTTAGTTTTATATTGTTGCACCCCCGCTGTTAACTGCTGCGTGGGACAATGTTATGATATCCTGGTTTCCTACTGTGTGCCGGTCCAGTGAATGCGGCATGCATGTGAGCGACATGGGGGGCGGGGTCGTGTGTGTGTGTGGGGGGGGGTGGGGTGAGAGTGAGAGTGAGAGAGAGAGAGAGGGGAGTGGCTTTGGATGTGCGGAGAGCCGAGGGTGAAAGTCATAGTGTCCGCCCCCTCCCGCAGGTCCAGTGCTTCATTGTAAACCACAAGGTGCCGGAACGCACATCAAACAGTTACACTTACAATGAGTGGGACTTATTGAGGCCACACTGCAGTGACGGTATCAGTGATTAATAAAGTGGCATCTTGAGCAAAGGCGACTTCTGTGTCCAGCGGAGAAAACCAACGCAAACACACACACACTCACACACACACACACACACACACACACACACACACACTTTGTTAAATTGAAGGCACCACCTCCCCCCCCCGTCGACCGTAATGGTCCGGCCCGCGTTCGGTCGAGGTGGGCTGCATCTGGCCCGCCCCCTGAATGGAGTTTGAGACCCCTGATTTACACTCTTCCTGCCCCCTTTATTCTGAAGGCAGCGTGTGGCGGAGGTGCGCCGGTAGCTTCCGGTGACGCAGCGCGATGGGCGTGGCTCTCTCTCCGGCTGCGCTGGACCCGCCTGAGTGAGGGAGACCTCCGGAGGAAAGATGGCGGCCCCTGCTCTCTCCAGCCGAGCGGGCAGCCCCGGTAACGGCTCCGGCAACAGCCCCACCGTGGCCGCCGCGAGGCTTCTCGCGCACGGCGGCGTTGGGCCCGAGCTGGACTTCAGGTCCGCGGCCCGCATGGAGGACGTGAACCGGCTCATCCAGGAGTTCAGCAAGCACGACCAGCGGGAGTACGACGACCAGCGGGCTCTGGAGATCCACACGGCCAAGGACTTCATCTTCTCCATGCTGGGTGAGGCGAGGCGAGGCGAGGCGAGGGGAGGGGACGGGAGGGGACGGGAGGGGGGCTACCGGCGTCCAAGACCGGGACGTGCGGGCTCGTGTCCGGGGGTCTCACCTCCAGACACACCTGCACGGAGACAGAAGTGGTGCGTTCAGGGTCTGTCTCCTTTACGTAAACATCACGTAGAATCAGCAATAAAGGACAATATTTACTCTGTAACTGGAGTTCATATTTTTATTTATATATAATATATATACTATTATTCCTTTATTTTATTATTGTTTTTTTAATTGTAGTATTCTTAATTTCCCCCAATTGAATATTAATTATTACCACTAGTGTTACTGTTGGCGTTATTAATATGGATATTGCAGCATTCTTCTTATTTTTTCTTAGTAGAATAAACAGATGATTTGTATTTGTAGTTCTTAAAGCTAAGCTAAGCTAGCATCCTCAGAGCTCTCCGTTCACCGCCGATCATCAACAGTCGGGTTCGAGACGCAGTGACGTCACAGATGCTTTAATCACTTCCTGTCTTCGCTTGATTGGGATTAAATTTAAGTAACGTGGAAAGAAAAGAATCAACGTCACTGTAGTTGGTCGGAATTAAACATCATAAACATCAACATCTCCCATCAAAACAGGAAGTGGTAAAGAAGTAAAGCCCGCCTGTCTAACCGGCCCTTTCCTCCTCCTCCTCCTCCTCTCAGGAATGGTCCAGAAGCTGGACCAGAAGCTCCCGGTGGCCAACGAGTACCTCCTCCTGTCGGGGGGCGTCCGGGAGGGCGTGGTGGACATGGACCTGGAAGAGCTCAGCGTCTACGCCCGCGGCGCCGACTACGACATGGACTTCACGCTGCTGGTGCCGGCGCTGAAGCTGCACGACCGCAACCAGCCGGTGACGCTGGACATGCGCCACTCGGCGCTGGGCCACTCGTGGCTCAGCCTGCGCCTCTTCGACGAGGCCACCATCGGCCGCTGGAGGGACTGCTGCACCGTGGTGGACCACGTCAGCGGCGCCGCCAACTACTTCTTCTCCCCCACGCTGGTGGCCGACTGGTTCCACCGGGCCGTCTCGCTGGTGCTGCTGGAGGTGCAGAAGAAGCCGCAGCGGGGCACGCCGCGGGTGGAGAAGGTGGAGCGGAACGGCACCGTGGTGTCCGTGGTGCTGGGCGTGGGCAGCAGCCGGATGCTCTACGACATCGTGCCCGTGGTGTCCTTCAAGGGCTGGCCCGCCGTGGCCCAGAGCTGGCTGATGGAGAACCACTTCTGGGACGGCAAGATCACGGAGGAGGAGGTGATCAGCGGCTTCTACCTGGTGCCCTCCGCCTCGCACAAGGGCCGCAAGGAGAACGAGTGGCGCCTGTCCTTCGCCCGCAGCGAGGTCCAGCTGAAGAAGTGCATCTCCTCCGGCCTGATGCAGGCGTACCAGGCCTGCAAGGCCATCGTGGTGAAGCTGCTGTCCCGGCCCAAGGCCATCAGCCCGTACCACCTGCGCAGCATCATGCTGTGGGCCTGCGACCGCCTGCCCTGCAGCTACCTGGGCCAGGAGGACTTCTCCGCCCACTTCCTGCTGGGCCTCATCGACGACCTGCAGCACTGCCTGGTCAGCAAGACCTGCCCCAACTACTTCATCCCGCAGTGCAACATGCTGGAGCACCTGACGGACGAGGCGGGCCATGCTGCACGCCCGCAAGCTGTGCTCGCTGCGCTCCGACCCGGCAGAGCACCTGCGCTCCACCATCGAGCACGCCAAGGCCGCCAACCGGCTCACGCTGGAGCTGCAGTGGCGGGGCGGCGCCAACAACCCGCCGTCGCCGCAGTCCGACTCCGGCGGCGAGAACCAGCCCGACGACCGGCTGGCCAAGAAGCTCCAGCAGCTGGTCACGGAGAACCCGGGGAAGTCCATCTCGGTCTTCATCAACCCGGACGACGTGACCAGGCCGCACTTCAGGATCGACGACAAGTTCTTCTGATGAGGAGTGAGGCTCCTCCTCTTCCTCCTCCTCCTCCTCCTCCT